TTCGATGAATCTATTCGCAAGGCTGAGTATAGATCTTATACGCCGTTCATCAGGTCATTTAATTGTAATGATGTTGTGGAATTTAGCATCAATCAAGTAGATTCGTTCTTTGCAATGAACGCTTCCCTTCTATCTATCAAAGGAAAAGTTGAAATAACTGGAGGAGGAGGAGCAGGAGATGTATCTTTAGCTCCAAACTTTGGTGCCTTCCTATTTGACTCTTGCACTTACAGTGAATCCGCTAGAGAAGTTGAAACAGTACGTGATCCTGGTATTGTAAGTACTGTCCGAGCTTACGTATGTTACAGTGAGGAAGACTCAAATCATATGGCTATAGCTGGATGGAACTATCCTTCAACACCTATAATGGCGTCAACACATAACAAGTCTTTTAGCTTGCTAATGCCGCTTAAACATATTTTCAACATTTTCAATGATTATCCTATGATTACGTGTGGCAGACAAACTCTCAGATTTGTGAGAGCTAGAAACGATAACGATTGTATCATTATCAAGGAAAAAACTGGAACGACGACGACAGCGAAAATAACTATTGAAAGCATGGAACTGAAAATCAAACATATTTACCCGAGTGATGATGTGAAAGAACAACTTTTGAAAGCTATTCAAACTGATAAGCCGATACTTATACCATTTAGAAAATGGGATCTGAATGAACTGCCTGCAATTACCGCAGATGCGAGAAGAGAAATATGGTCAGTTAAAACTAGCACCGCAATCGAAAGACCACGTTTCATTATAGTATGTTTCCAAACCGGTAAACGTGACGTCGCAACCTCAGACCCTACCCTGTTTGATCACGTGAATGCTGCTAGTATTCGAGTATCTTTAAATGGTGAATACTATCCCAACGAACGTATGCAATTGGACTTTGCAAACAATCACTTTACTGAAGCTCATTTCAACTATAGCGACTTTCAAACCAGCTATACAACTTCTTCTTCTCCTCTGAAGAGATGTCTTTTAGATTATACCGCTTTTAAAAATCGCGCTTTGTTTGTTATTGACTGTTCCAAACAAGAGGAAACCATGAAATCATCAACTGTTGATGTTAGATTGGATATCGAAGCCGATACTGGCTTTCCAACCAACACCAAGGCCTACTGCATCATTATACATGACTGCTTAATCGAGTACTTCCCCCTCACCGAAGTTATTAAAACCATCTCGTAAGCAACGAAGGACTCTCAGTTCCGCATCAGACATCATGAGGATCGCGTTTGTTGACATTCAAGGCTTTACAGTTGACGGATTATTCGTACCTAAAGAACTATGTATCGAAATTGGTTTCAAGAAAAGTCATTACATCTTTACACCTCCGCAACCTTTTTCTACATTAAATACTAAAGACAAGAAAACTGTCGCTTACTTGGAGAAGAATTTCCATGGGCTTAAATATTCTTCCGGCGACGTTAAATATTCCAAGTTAAATGAAATAATTAAAAATAAGGTGATATATGCGGCTGACTATGTCTACGTTCGTGGAGAACAGAAAGCAAACTTTTTACTCAAGAAATGTCACATTTTTGGTGTTTTTCCCAACATTATTGATGTTTGCAAGTATGATGGTACACCGTGTGCTACTGGAAACTTTGTTGCTGATTCCAATCCATGCCACACCAACGGACAATTTTCCTGTACCCAGAGAAATGTTGAACGTCTACGCCACTGGTTTTCAAATATCATATTACCTATGTAGTTTTTTCTATTTTCAATAAAATATTAAACGTATTATTGTAGTTTTATTGAAAATACCTCTGGTTTGCGAAATAATTGTCAGAATGTCTATACTATTTTCATTTTGAACGGTATCATCCTGTATAATAATAACAGTACATCGTATACAGGTTATGAGACATTCTGACCGACCGACCGACCGACCAGAGGAGCCCACCACGCTATTTAGGTCACGCCTTGCTATATACGATTTAACGATATACCGTCGGTCCATCGATCCGCTATTTTTCGATGCACCCCTGTATACACGTTGCCCCCCGTAATCCACGCCAACACCAGACAGGTGCGACATCGGCGCCATCTATGCGCGAGATGCCCAACCCATCAATGGCAGCTGTCCAATGACGCATAGATTCCGTTAGGTTTGTACAGCGCCAAACAAATCGGCGCCATCTATGCGCGAGATGCCCAACCCATCAATGACAGGTGTCCAATGACGTATGACAGATGACGTTTTAACGCCATCTATGCGTGAGATGCCCAATGACGCATGACAGGTGTCCAATGACACACAGATTCCGTTTGGTTTGACAGCGCCATCTAGCGGCGGAATCCCCAACTCATGAATTTCGATTACAGATTCCGTCCAACAACCTGTCAATGGCGCGCGACGCCAGCGCCTCTGGTGGCGGATTTTGGAAGTTTTGAGACCGAATCCCCATAAGACATCTACTATCATGCAGTAGATTTATGTTGAAGTTTCCAACTACCGCGGAATTTTTTTTCTTACATGCTCTTGATCTAATAAAGTTTCAAAAAAAGTTTCAAATTCTAGTTTATTTCCATTTGGTGGTCTATATATACTTTGAAGTTGAGTCATTAATTTTCAGATAATGATTGTAGAAGGAAGATAAACCAAAATATGTGTGTAAAAATAAAAAAAAATAAAAAAAAAATGTTTACCTTGTTTTATAAAGTATCCTCCCGACAAGTATTTCAGTGCGGACCTGATTTGATCGTGAGGTCCCCTGTGAGGTCTAAAGTCACCTGATTCAAGAGCCCGTTGTACTACATTAACAAAGGCACGAGGGGTTGGTTGCACTCGATTGGGAAACCGATCCGCATAAACATGTGCCATTTTTTATTTCGTTTGAGCCACGCAACAGATACCACTATTCACTGACACTGACTGTATACAAATGAATGAAATAATTGTAAAAACATCGTTCCAAATTCTTTCGCTTTTTTGTTTCCGATGCGATGAACCGATACGGCGGATTATATCCGTTGTCGCCAAACACGAGCACATGATATTATTATTGAGACAGGGCGGTACTCAAACTTCCAAAGGGCTATAACTTTGTTACTTTAATTTTACCAGAAAAATGGTAAAGGAAAAAAACATTTCTTTTGATCAGATCTACTCACTGTTAAAATAAATGACTCAACTTCGAAGTATATACCGCAAAAAACATAAATTTTGTCACGGATATTCATCTTCACCAAGGCATACCAATATTCCATACTCTTGCAACTTCCGTATTTTATATAGTGTGAGTCTTCATAAAGTGCACATATCGAAATCAGGTAAACTACACTCTATTCCATCGACGGATAAATCATCAAAAAAACATGAATTTGATTTTTATGAATATATGAATATTTTAAAATTTTTAGTAGCAGCTTCTAACCATATTGAAATAACTCGTTACAACTTTTAAACTAAATGTCCTATCATATTGGAATACATTTTGTAGTGATTGCTGGTAAAAGGACGTGCCTGAAAAGTGAAGAATTCCAGGAAAAGTAATGACATCCATTTAGAATAAAGAAAATTTTGATGAAAATCTGTTTTTTTTTTTTTTTTCATCATTTTTACAATAATTTCAAATTTTCTATAAATATCGTCTCTTGTACCCTACCTTTTTTTATTTGTAAGTTATTCTACATGTTATCAGCTTTATAAAAGTAAAAATTGCACGTTTATTACTCAAATGTAACAGTTTCTATGAGTGTTTATAAAAAAGCCCATGCGCATCGTCTTGCTAGGCACCATTGTTTATCATGTAGATACCTTTTTTTGGTGATTCAATGTAGAGTCTCGCGGGCTGAAGTGCGAGTGGGGAGGCGGGCGCAGTTGAAAAACAATTGAATGTTGGGCAGTTAGGCAGCTATTTGTGTTTCTCCTGCCAACTTTATCAGTTTCGTTTGCTACATATCACGCTTTCGCTTTTTGGTCGCGATGCCACGTATAAGTGATTTCCCTCCGACACACATTGCCGATATCCATTATTATTATGGAATGTACCGAGGGAGTGCTAGAGCTGCTTGCACAGCTTATCTAGCTGCATTTCGAAATCGACGCCCTGTTCCATCAGTCCGTAACTTCCAAGAAGTACATAGAAGACTGGCTAACACTGGACTTGGTTTGCCTCGAGATCGCCGCGAACCAGGTGTTATTATTCATGTTGCTATTGAAGAAGCCATTTTGGATGATTTGTTTGCTGACCCGACTACTAGTACGAGACGTTTGGCGTTACGTCATGGCGTATCCCAGAAATCGGTTTGGCGCATCTTGAGGAAAGCAGGGTTGCATCCATACCATTATCAAAGGGTACAGCACTTGCCTGAAGATGTGGATTGGCGTCCAAGGTGCGTTATGTCTACATGGAATTTAATAAAAACAAGAGACAATCCTGAATTCCCGAAAACCATTCTGTGGACAGAAGAATCTCAATTCACGAGAGACGGCACCGTGAACTGTCGTAATTTACATAAGTGGTGCCCAAAAGATGAAAACCCTAGGCTGAAAAGGGCTTCAAGATTTCAAGTGAAATTTTCTGTAAATGTGTGGGCCGCACTGATTGACAACTTTGTGATTGGTCCAATAATACTCCCGGGGACATTAAACAGAGAGAGATTTCTGGAGCTTTTGCGGACTGAACTGCCCTTGCTGTTGGAAGAAGTGCCGCTGTAAACCCGTCGAAGAATGATGCTTCAAATGGATGGATGTCCTGCCCATTACTCGCTGATTGTCAGGTCTTTTCTGAATGAAAATTATCCAGGCCGCTGGATCGGTCGACAAGGACCTGTTGGGTGGCCGGCGCGTTCCCCAGATCTCACACCTCTCGACTATTTTGTATGGGGGACAATGAAACAAAGGGTGTACAGCAGTTCCATGAACAGCGAAGCGGAACTTGAAGAAAGAGTTTTGCGTGTTGCAAACGAAATCAAAAATGATCCCGAGATGATTCGTAGGGCAACTCATCAAATTTCACTTCGCGCTACAATGTGTTTGCAGCAACGGGGTGGCCATTTTAAACATTTGATGCATTAAGCCAAAATGATTATCCTATAGACAAGTCTATTTGATTTTATTTGTTAAAGATAATGAATGAGTCATGTAGGTTAATACTGTTGTTTTATTCCTACTCTGGCGTTGAACTGAGTTCACTGCTTTTTGAAACGCTGATTTAAAAACTTGTATCTAAGTAATAAACTTGCAAGTTTTCACCATTAGAAAGCTAATAACATGTAGGATAACTTAACATTTAAAAAAGGTAGGGTAAATAGGACAATTTTTATTGAAATTTAGCAATTGTTTTAAAAATCATTGAAAAAATAGTGAGTTTCAGCATATTCCTCTTTCTTTTAAATTTATAGCATTTAATTTCGTGGAAATTTTCACTTTACTGGTACCGTCTATTATTTGCAATCACTACAAAATTTATTCCAATATGATAGGACATTCAGTTTAAAAGTTGTAACGATTTATTTAAATAGAGTTAGCAGCTGACTCTAAAAATTTTAAAATACATATTCATAAAAAATCAATTATTGTCTTTAATTTTTTTTGATAATTTTTCCGTCAATAATATAAGGTGTAGTTTCCTTGATTTTGCTATGTGCACTTCATGAAGACTCACACTGTATACACAGTAACTCTAGTAACTTGGGGGACTCGTTTAGAGAACTCGTGTATTCTGAACAAATTAATACTGTTGATTTGAACATTTATTGAAATGAAGCTTTGATTATCTAATTAGTTGCTTTTTTAATTTTTACGAAAACAATGCACTTCAGGAAAAAACAAGAGTAGTTATTTGTAGCAAATTATAAAATTGCGTTTCGAAAAAAACAGTGGCGTGCACGTGTATTTTAAGTAACGTCTTTTGAATGTGGAGAATACTTAGGTAAATCCACATACCAAATTTTAGTTTATTCCAGTTGACGTTTTTGAAGATATTAGAAAAAAAAATTTTTAAACTAACACCCCGTATCCTTTTAATGAAGCCAAAATATTACATAGAAGACCCCTCTTAAAATGCGGTCCAGTACATCATGTTTTACTTTTAGACACGACTTGAAAATCACCCAGTATATATTATAAATAATTATACAAAATTCAAACGTTTGAAAATGCCTATGACATAAAATTATACCAACAGGATCGCAATACCATCGTCTTTATTTTTCAGTATTTGAGTAATACATTTCTGTTCAGGATTTCTTTTGGCGTTACTTTTTGTCAAATTCTATTTCATAAAAAATAATTTTCATCCGGCTGTCAAATCGGAGAAAATCTAGATTAATACAGATCTTGGGGGGCGAATATGTGACTTTTGTCATCGATAGCCATTGTACTGCCACGTCTATTAAGTTATTTTATTTTAAGACGGTGTTGGAAAAATCTGGTCAATAACGAATAAAAAAGTAAGTATTCTCAAGCAGCTCATACTCCTTCCGAATTTCAAGAAGGCTGTACTGTTACCAATCTTATCAAATCTCATCTCAATACACACAAAGCGACCTATACATCGGATGCCTCTTCCCACCGAGGCATTTCGCTCCAGGCTTGCCGACTTCATAAACAGCCGTATTAAGTATGTTCCCTGCTGGCCCATAGTTACAGGCGAACATGAGATGCCGCCATTTAGTTCTGCCTTCTACGGTTGTCCATGTGGAAGCTGCACATCCTACCATTCTCGTGGTTGCCCATACCAGCTGGAGGTAGTGTCCTACTCTGCCATCTCTGTAATGGTAGGCTCAATAAGCATGGAATTATCAGGTAACCAAATAAGTTCGTACGGTTTTTAGAAGAAAAATGTAAATTTTCATTCAGGAACAATAAGCGCGGTTCATCGCTCAAACTGAGATCTCCCGAAGAAAAATTTTTTAACCATTTCATACTAAAGTGACAACAGTGACAACCGCTTTCGATCAACAACATCCATGGCAATGTGCAATATACAGGTACAGCAACCGCACGAACTTATTTGGTTACCTGACACTTTGGAAAGTGAAAAAGTTTTTCTTGCATGACTTTTTACTTCCCACGCCAGCTGGCGTGAACGCGGAAAATAAAATTTCGAAAAGAAGTTTGCATATTTCTTGGATGAGAAAAATCGTGTCAATCATTTTGGTAGACCTGTCGATATGTCTGTCTGTCCATAAATCCTTAGCCTATAACTTGAATACCACCGGTCGAATTTTGAAACAAGCTTACGGCTATCTCAAGGACGAAAAAGCTGTTAGACATTTCAGAGACTCCTAATCATTTTCAGATTTAAACCCCCGAAAAACCTGAGCTCTTGACAAAACACCATATGTTTAGCAAGAGTTTCCGTTGCACTGTGCTCAAGTCTGAAACAAAACCTGGTAGCACACTGATGTCGTTCATTTTTAGAACACAATAAAAAAAACTGTTTCACAAAAGAATCACTACTGATAACCAAATAACTCAAGCGAGTTCAAACTTGTACTGAAGGCGGATCACATGTTCCCCTGTCTCCCCTCCAAGCTCGGTGTATAAACCTTGTATAAAAAACAAAAACATTCAAGGTAAAAACCTACTACTCTTTTAGAAAATGAGTTGTCCGACAGCCTGGAGATCTCGGACTATAATTTCATGTAGTCTTTGCTTTTACAATTCGTAAGGGCTAAAGCTTTTAACGTTCCATACGTACAGCATTGAATTTCTAATACACAGTCAGCATATGAAATATATTTGACTTTCAGTAACTGAGATAATATACTCACGGTTTTATATCTTTGATATCAGTGCTATTGAACATAGTCACTTCTTCGTACCAGCCTGTTATCATCCTCCTGACCTCCTTGACTATGTCAATGTTACGAGATGTGGTACTCACCGATGCTAGGTTTTGACCTACCAGAGGAAAGGTCGCTGTAAACAATACAAAGGATTCATACATATACTAAGTGACATATAAATCCGAACACCCAGCTTAAATGGTTTTATTTTAATAAAATTTTGTATAAGTACTTAATGAAGCATAATAAGTAAATGATAAAAATTTCAAAATGGTTGCACTGCTTTAAAGCCCTTTGACCTTTAATAATGTGTGGATGCACACATGCTAGAGTCTGAGGAGAACGTTGCAAATTGAGCAATCTCCTACCCATCATATCCCACACGTGCTCAATTGGGGATAAGTCGGGAGATCTTGGTGGCCATGGTAACAATGTGACATCATTATGTTGAAAGAAGTCTATTGTGACTCTTGCAACGTGTGGTCGGGCATTATCTTGTTGGAAAGTTGGATCTGCCAGGGTGTCAAGATAGGGTAAAAGATGGGGTTCTAGAACTTCGTGGATATAACGCTGCGCGTTCATGTTACCTCTGATGAAGATTAAAGGTGACCTGGAACCATAAGCTATAGCACCCCAAACCATAACTCCAACAGTGTGATGAACATGTCTTTCAACAAAAAACTGTAGATTCCTCCTTTCACCACGTCGCCTTCTAACCCTGGCACGACCATCGTGCATGCCTAAACAAAATCGAGACTCGTCACTAAAGACAATACTGTTCCATTCCTGATCCCAGAGTGACCGTTGTCTGCACCACTCAAGGCGATTACGTCGGTGTTCTCGAGTTAAAGGGAGGACCCAGCGTGGCCGGTATGAAAACAAGCTAAAACTTCTCATTCGTCGGTAAACACTTCGCATGCCAATAGGTCTTCCGTGTTCTGCAAACCATTCATTTGCAATGGACCTGGTAGTGGAGAAACGGTCCCTTAAGGCCAATAATCTTAGGCGGCGATCTTCACGGTCTGTTGTTCTACGGCGGCGTCCAGTGCCCCTTGCTCTTTGCGTACGGCCTTCTCGAAGCCATGCCTGACAACACCTAACCACAGTGTCTACATTTCTTTGCACTCTAACTGCAATTTCCCGAAAAGATAGTCCAGCTTCCCGAAGTCCCACTATACGGCCCCTATCAAACTCACTAAGTTGACGAAATCGTACAGGTCTCCGTACTCTAGGCATCGTAACCGATCGTGAAGGATGTCAAGAACCAAAATCCGCCAACGTTGATTCTTTACTGCGGCTGAAATATTCATTTTTAGAGCGTTAGTGAATTAAAAAAAGCAGTATAAAAACCGGAATGTCCAACTGATAAGGCTGAAAATTTTTTCACTTGTTATTTACAGTAAGATAAATACATTCACCAACTTTTATTAAAATAAAACCATTTAAACTGGGTGTTCGGATTTATATGTCACTTAGTATATATCAAGATGAAATAGCACATATGCTTCAAATAAAGTGAAATGCATACATTTTTTCCCGGACACCGTCCTTTACTAAAAGTTTTGTGCTTAATAAAAATGTACATCAAACATTCATTCATGGGCTTCAACAGAGTTTTACCACTAGTCAAACCGGGTTTTAAACACCCAAGATCCACTTAATAGCTATATTTTACACATCACACGTTTCCCTAATCATTTGTCTTTAAAAGGTGATGAGAATGATAAAGAAATGTGCCCGATATGCGTCTCCTTCTGCTGTCTGGGTTCAGCGCCCAGCGTAACGATCTGCGAAGGGGCAACGTTTCCAGATGGAAGGTAACTACCTGTAGGGAAGAATATCTATAGGCTTATGGGCCTTTTCGTGTTCATAAATAATGTTTCAACTTGTGCTGAATATAATCCTTTATGAACTGATGGTAGCGTTGCGTGAGGAGTGAAGAGTCAACCAATTCGACTGAATTTTTATACCAACAAGAAAGTTGAACACACCTCAAGAGAGAACTTTTTTGTTAAGTTGTATTTCTACAAAAATTGTAATCAGTTTTTCATCCTAAGGTCATGTTTGGATCTACAATCAAGTATTTCTTTACTTAAGCGCAGATGCCGTAAAACAATGCAACAATTTTTAGTTATATTATTTACATGAGAAATAAATTTGAGATTTCCATCTTTAACTGATTCTTCTATCTGAATAGCATGGCTGTTTAAAATATTGCTCAAATTATTTTTATTAAGGGAAATTTTTAGAAGAAAAAATAGTAGCTTTGGGAATTTCTGTAGAGCAGGAGTTCCCAACCAGGGGGGCGCGCCTCCCAACGGGGGCATAGTGAGACGTCAAGGTGCGCGGAAAGTGTTTGCATTTTAGAAAGAAATAACAAACAAATAACATTACAATGTAATGTTTAATTTACACGCATAAAATTAGAAATTAAATATCGTATTCACTTATTCTGTCAACAGCTGTTTCAAAACCCGGCGTCGTCAGTCGCAGTTTATACAAGTTTCGACAAGTCACAACATGAAATCCGAGCGCACCCCCGCCGCGCTTATTTATTTATTACTTATTTAATTTTATTGTTACATGTGCATAATGGCAGCGAAAAAAAGAAAGTTTTCTGAAGATTACGTTGAGTTTGGATTTACCTTCATAGAAAAAGTTACAATTGCCTCAAGGCATTTGAAGATGCAACATCCTACTCTGATATTGAAAACGAAAGAGGAAGTTATCACACAGGTGTATCGCAGCATCTCGAAGCTTCATTTGAAATAGCTTTTAAGATAGCAAAGCAAAAGCAACCTCATACTATCGGTGAAGAATTAATAAAACCATGTGTCCTAAAAGCCACGCAGAATTTTAGGAGAAGATGCAGATCAAAAAATAACACAGTCAAGCGTAGAATCGATGACATTGCAGCAGACCTAAAGTCACAAATAATTAACAAAGTAAGATTATCGTCATTTTTTGCAATTACAGTATATTCAGATACGTGATCATCGAACGCTGTAACATTCGGCAGGGACGTATTAAGGTAAATATGTAACCAAATTAAAACGTTCAAAACGTAAACAAATGTGCATGGTTGAACATAGTCAGAAAGTAGATTCTTGAATAGGTTTTGCCAAAATGGGTTCAAAAATGTCAATAATTAATTAAAAAATACAGTAGCTTTATAATTACTTATAACTTACCGAATCTGATGAACGACATCTTTTATTGGAAAGATGAGCTTGATGAGCTTTCATCATCGCTACTGCCTGAAGCACCAACGTCAATAATGAATGGCTCGACTTGTTCCTCTAAAATATTGTCCAGTTCCCACATTCTCTTTTCAACTTTGTCTTTCACGTGCTTAATACAGTTTTCCCAGTTTTGCGCTGTTATTAATTCTAGTGCTTCTTTGAAAAGTCCTTTGAGGTCACAAAATTTAAAAGTTGTATTGTGCTTAGCTATATAATTTTTAACCTCTGCCCATATAAGCTCAATGAGATTGAGCTCGCAATGGTATGGAGGTAAACGGAGCACAGTTTTATTTTGACTTGCTGCCATTTCGTCAATGGCGTATTTTTGATATTCCGCCTTGTGATCCTTGACAATTCTTAATAATTGTACTTTCAGCATTGCTTCTTCAAAGTTGATATTTTTCGAGCGGAGCCAATTTTGAACATCAACTTTCCTTGAAGCCGTTGTTGGGACCTTCTCCATTCTTCGAGAATGATAAGGCGCATTATCCAGCACAATTACTGCGTTTTCCTCTAAGTTTGGTAAAATTTTTGAAAACCACTGTTCAAACGATTCGCCATTCATTTACTCGTGGTAATCTCCAGTTTTCTTAGACTCAAAGCACCACAGACCGTCAACAACAAATCCATCCTCACTGCCAATATGGCAGATAATGAGCCCTTTCCCTTTACCTGGAAATCGAAGTACTAACTGGTGTAGATTTATTTCAATAAGCGAACCTTTTTCAAATGTTTTCATCACATTCAGCGAAAAAACATTGAGACATGAGTATCAGATTGCTATAATTGGGATTATTTAGTCATATTGAAAGAAAGAATATTGAACGTCGTATGATTACTCAGCGCTTCACAATTTAATTTGAATTATTATAAACCTTTAAAAAATGAATGATCAGGAACCTGAAATACGCGCAAATATTAATATTAACAAATTATAACTTTATAAAGCTTAAAGTATGAATTAAAATGATTAGAAATATTAGGAACGGTACACAATATAAAACTTAGTAACTTTTTTTAAGTTTATAATAATCGACATATTTTAAGATTATATTAAAAAATTATTGAAATATCGAAAACACATAAAAACATGGCTTAAAAAAGTTCTAACAAATGAAAATGACAACAAAACATCCACGCATTTTATCGAAAGTTATAAAAGTTTTGTTACTTGTAATATGTTTTATCTGCCACCTGGAATTAATGTTTAGAACCTTGTTCCCAAGGTTTGAAAAACATCCGATTGTTGTCTATTACTCGTATTTACCTGCTGGATTTTTTAATCCGGTGGACAGTCCATCTAGAAAGGCCCTCCTGGATGAAGTTACAGAATCATCAACCCATACTTTACTTGTAGTGTGTCCTGCGTTTACCCACGTTTCATCAAGGTAATAAATCTTCCTGTTTTGATTTCTATATTTCCCAATTTTTGTTAAATAATCCCTCCTCCATAGCACAATTTCTTCTCTATCCAGTAGTAAACTATTACGACCCCGTTTTTTCCATTTGAAATTTAAATGCTTCAGTAACGTATGGAAAGTTGATCGTTTGAAATTTGGCAACGTTGTATCTCCATTTACCTCCTGCAGTACTTTATCTATAGTAGGTATTTCATTCCTAAAGAAGAATTCATGCACTTTCCTCCTAATCGCATGCTTATCAGCTTCATCCAATGATTTAACAATACTTTTGCGATGTTTACTGGTCATTGGCTCAGAAAAGGTGTGATTTTTTTTGTATTATCTTAACACATTAAACACTGATGCGCGACACACCCCAACTTTGTGAGAAACCTTCACAACAATTTCTTTGATGGTTGATGCCTCGTTCTCCTCGCGCTCGATCTTATATATATTCAAAATGACCTCTTTCATTTCTGCACTCAGGTGTCTTTTTTTAGAGCGTTTCCTAGGTGGACTACAGGAGTTTACAACTTCATCGGCAGTATCTGTACTACTGGGCATTTTGCGCAAGCAGTTGATAACAATAACAATCAATAACAAGGTATAACAATAACAACGACAAACTCAACAACTTAATAAGATAACAAACGAAAACGTCCAAAGAAATATCAAATTGCAATGATGCACACGACATACGTAACACGTCTGAACCTGAATGTGACTCTGCCTTGATACGACTGCTCTGCCGTTCGGCATAGGCATTTAATTGCGAATTGACCAATGAGGGCTCCTGTTTTACGTCGAGACGGCGGCGTTAGCGTGAAAATCACCCGAACCTTTTGTTTACATCCGGTCTATCTCTTATCTGAATATACTGTAGTTGCGATGAATCTACCGACATCGTTAATTGTGCACAGTTAATAGTTTATGTTCGTTTCATCGGCGGAGATATCATTCAAGAAAAGATTTTGAATTCCTAGTGTTTGACAGCAGGTACCACATCTGAAGATATATTTAATTCAATATCAAATTGTGTTGAACAAAATTGTTTGGTTTGGAAGAAACTCATTGGACTTTGCACACCTGCAATGATAGGTGTACGATCGGGCTTAGCTAAAAAGCTCAAGGAACAAAATCTCGCAATGATTAGTACATATTGTGTTATTCATCGACAAGCTTTGGCTTCCAAAACGTGGCCACAGAAATTACGCCAAACTTTGGACTCGGCTATAAGGATTGTAAACTATATCAACAGCAGCGCTTTGAACAGTCGGTTATTTACTTTACTTTGCGAGGATCTCGATTCTGATCACAAAGTTCTTCTGTTCCACATAGAAGTAAGCTGACTGTCCAAAGGCAACATGTTGCTCGCCTTTATGAGGTAATTATTTTTCTTGAGTTCAAAGAAAAATCCGATTTCTTGACAATGCTTAAAGATAACACATTTCAATGGAGGCTGGCTTATTTAACTGACTTACATATTTGACTCCTTGAATGAGCTAAACTTGAATTAAAATAAAAGTACTTGTACCTTTACAGGGTGACTTCGAAGTTGAGTCATTTATTTTAACAGTGAGTAGATCTGATCAAAAGAAATGTTTTTTTCCTTTACCATTTTTCTGGTAAAATTAAAGTAACAAAGTTATAGCCCTTTGGAAGTCTGAGTACCGCCCTGTCTCAATAATAATATTATGTGCTCGTGTTTGGCAACAACGGATATAATCCGCCTTATCGGTTCATCGCGTCGAAAACAAAAAAGCGAAAGAATTTGGAACGATGTTTTTACAATTATTTTATTCAGTTGTATACAGTCAGTGTCAGTCGGTAACGCGTGAGTGAATAGTGGTGTCTGTTGCGTGGCTCAAACGAAATAAAAAATGGCACATGTTTATGCGGATCGGTTTCCGAATCGAGTGCAACCAACCCCTCGTGCCTTTGTTAATGTAGTATAACGGGCTCGTGAATCAGGTGACTTAAGACCTTACAGGGGACGGCATGCCGGTGCTCCAAGACCTCACGATCAAATACAGGTCCGCACTAAAATACTTGTCGGGAGGATACTTTATAAAACAAGGTAATTTTTTTTTTATTTTTTTTTTATTTTTACACACATATTTTGGTTTATCTTCCTTCTACAATCATTATCTGAAAATTAATGACTCAACTTCAAAGTATAATATGCGCTTTTTTGTATTTATTGAAACAGTAAAGGGGAGCCTGAAAATATAGTTTATAGTCCGGGATGCCTCAACAAAAAAAAAATAACGGGAAACCCTGCTCTAGAGGCTATGTTCTGTTGCATGATTTTCAATAGAATTTAGACCCGCTATTATTTGTCTATAATCTACGATACTTACATGTTTTTCTGCATTTGTCGTGTGCTAACTCTCTTCTACACCTATTCACCCAGCACTGTGCTATGAACTCCAGTTCTTCGTTATATGTCTAAGAAATTCAGGATAGAAGATACAGTTCTAATCAAAAATGCTTCTATTGTACCTGTACTAACTAACTTAATCTGCATACAAATTACTAGGAGATAATAACTGCTATCAGAAACGAAACAAATAATTTTTTACAACTGTTGATTCACGTAACACCTGTTTTGTTTAACACGTCTTGCAGTTGAAAATGATATATGAATAGCATCGTAGCAGTAACCGAACTAAACAAACTAGTTCCTCTCAGTCTAAAGCTGACCAAGACCTTGACAACTGACGGTGAGTGTTTATTACTTCACGTATTATCCGCACAAGTTTGCTTTTTTCTCACATATGTCATTACACCCATGATAATTAGCTCGCTGTTAGCAAGATGCTTAGCACGTTCGATGGCAAACGTTCTAAGCTTCCACTAAAACAACTGCTAATTCTGAAGGGAATATAAAATTCAATATTTCCTACCATTCTCCTGCAAGTTATATGTAAAAATAGTTTTACCAGTGCATTTATGTTACTAGCAGGTGGTTGACCAGTTCCCCTCCTTTCGATTCCATTAGCCACGTAATTTCTTAAATGGTTGTGGATGTCAAGGATGAACTTCTTCTCTGGTTCGGAAAATTTTACTTTCCGGAACTCAGCACCGCATTCTGGATCGGGACCGCAGCTCTGCAAATAAAATTATTTTATCTGCATCTGAAATATCCAGATGCTCTCCACAAAATTTCACCTTTTGGGAAAACAGTTTTTCATTTTCTTTTCGGAGAATATGCCCCTGCAATTAAGGAAAATTTCCAAAACAAAAGGAGTTTTTGAAACGTCAAAAAACGAAATTTGATCGGATTTTATCTTTTCATTTTTTACTGGTATCTCCACACTAGATCTAACGTATGTCCCAAAAGTTTTGGCACAGAGTAGAATAGACCACTCCACATAATTCGATAGTATAGTTTAGTTAAGTAATGTGCTGTAATTTATGATAACTAGTTAGTGCTTAAATAAATTTCTTCATTAAAAAAAATCCTAGAAACATTTTGCGCCAAAGCTCTTGGGATATATACGAGTACTTTATCTGAAGTCACTTTAAATAGCATAAAAACCTTTGGTAGGCGCGTCCTCTGTAATTTCATGACGTATCATAGGCGTGCGGTCATTTATTTAGAACGATAATAATAATGTTTTTATATCACAATAAATGGATTTTACTATCTTCTTATTTTTTTGATTTGGGATAAAAAATACTTATATTGGGAGTTTAATTTATGTTGACTGAAAGTTAAGAAATGGAAAAATTACAGAATTCCAACGTTTGACATAGGCAAATATTTACATAGCAGGTAGGTACTTATATAAAAAGGTATATAAAGACTTAACATTATAGGTATTTATATATCATCCTCGCCTTCGGAGCTGTCGCTAGAGTCATGTTGTAGAGGAATTACAACGGGATTTACAGGAGGCAAAACACAATATTCATTTTCTTTTTCAATAATATGCCTAGAACACTGCTTCCATAGGTCTGTGGCAGCATTATGAGATACTGCATCTCTTATTGTGGCCAATAGCGATTCACTTAATTGAGGGGTCTGATTATGTTTTGTTCCTTTTTTTTTTAAAGCAGCCCAGACCAACTCAATCGGGTTAAAAATGCAGTAATAGGGAGGTAGACGTAATACTTCATGGCCATTTTGCTGAAGCAGATTGTCAACAACATACTCTTTTTCAAATTTTTGTCTTTTAATAAGATCCAATAATATGGCTTTGGTTGATTTTTGTGGTATTTCCATTCCCTTATCCTTCATAAAATCAATAATGTCTTGTTTTTTTGTGCCTGTATTCGGAATTTTGTTTTTCTGTCGGGAATGGTATGGCGCATTGTCCATAATAATCACTGAATTTGGGGAAATGTTTGGTATTAACTGCTGCTCTATCCACTTTTCAAATAAGTCGGAGGTCATGTCCTCATGATAGTCGGCACATGATTCTTTGATATTTTTGGCAGATAACAGCAAGGCATTAGGTATAAATCCATTTTCACTGCCAGCATGGAGAATAATGATTCGTTTTCCACGGTTGCATGGTGCATTTAAAATGCACTTGTTGCTGTCGGCAACCCAGCCGTACTGCACAACATCATGGGTATCATACCACATTTCATCCAGGTAAATCAGATTTCTTTTCTGCTCTCTATAGATTTTAACTTTGTGCAAAAATTCTTGGCGCAATTCAACGATTCGAGACGACTCCATAATCACCATTCTTTTATCTAATTTTTTTTATTGAAAACCACACAGTTTTACAATACAGTGCAGTGAGTCTAAGCATTTGTAATTATAAAAATCTTCAGGATAATCTTTTAATTTATCCCGTATCATTTCCAACGTGGGCACCAAATTTTCTTTATAAAATCCGTATATTATACGACGAATATCTTCCTGAAAACCCACGTCTATTATTTTTAATTTTTGCCCTATGCGCTTTCTGTGGAAGGAATGGTTGACTACATCTCCCCTTTTTATAACCCGATAAATGGTAGACCGACTGATTTTTGTCAGGATACAAATTCTGTTTAAAATTTGATTTTGCGAGGAATCTGGATTTTCATTTTTCAGACAATCATACATATTTAGGTTTACTCTTTGGGTCTGTTCCTCTAAATCTTTATGAAAGAATTCTGCCTGCACAGGTTCATCAACCATCTCCTCGTGGCTTGGAGCATTTTCCCAAGGTCTCCAAACAGCCATATTTAGGACACACAAGAACAATCAACACAACAATTAAATCAACAAGTAAACTGAGTATTCAAAAGTCAAAAACACACAAACTAATAAAATCTATGAAAAAACACGGACAGACTAAAGAAAACACGTTTATTCACCGCTACACGGCACTGTTTCAATTGTCAGTAGCCACCTGAACTTGTTCCGAGCTCTGAAATACACGCTTTCTCATTGGCTATGTCCACGCATAGGCGTGCTTTACTCCACGTGGACCGGTGAAACTGTCTTTGATCTTATACGGGGGATATTTGCTGCGAAATTTGGCGATTTTTGCAGCAACAGAGCATGTTAAATATAGATATATAAAACGCACCCGGTATTTCACAGTGTTTCAAGTGACTTCAGATAAAGTATACGTTATTTGACCGCTGTATTATAATTCTAGTCTAGAAAAATACGTGTTGATGATACTCTTAATATCATAAATAAATAAACACAAAAACTGATAGCTTCTCGAAGCAGCACATTGCAAATGTGTGTAATTTAAATTCCTAAAAAATCTCAATTTCCTGGTAGATGCATGACTAACTTGAGAGGTTGATTATATGGGTGTTATTCAATCACACAATAGTTAAAATAATCATGACTGCATCACTTCTGTCACGTTACAATCTGTTGAAATTGATACTACATTATTATGGAATGTAAATTCTAATTGAACGTATAATTGTTGCTACAATGCCAAGTTCATCATGATCCAGTGATTTTTTCAGCTACTGCTTGACACAGATTACTCTGAGATGACTCAAATTGCCTATCATAATTCAGGAAATGAAGGGTACTATAAACGTTTTGCAATACAGCTTTATTTTTTTATTCATAAACCAGTCCTTAAAGCAACTCTGCCAATCAACAGACGTTCTACTGGCGACTACTATGCACTCATGGACATGTCTCAACATGCAGTAACTTATACGAGCCCCTTCCCACTTCAGTTGGCCCACATCATTTGTACCAAAATATGCCTTAATAAACTAAACATGACGAAACCATTTACTTCTAAAACAATTTATTTTCTCAAAAACATTTTAAATACACTCTAGTCGTAAAAAATACATATTTGAAATCACTTAGACCTATAACTAATAGAACATCTGAACAAATAAACAATGTGCGAATAAATGCGCGAAGTTAACAAAGCAACAATTGAAAGATTACCATTGAGTAACATCACCTTTATTTTTTAATACGGGGCATAGTGTTAACCAAGTTTTGGCAAAAATTTGGTGTAAAACAATCCCATATTTCTTGAAGCTTTTGTCTCTTCTCTCTAATTTCCATTACTTAAATTAAAATATGTACGACAAAACGAATATTTAAAAATTAAATTTATTTGTTAAGTAAAAATTATTTAGGGAAAAAATTTTTAATTTATGTTGATAATTGTTTTTTTTATGATGGGTAAAAAAATATTTTTATATTTTGGGAATTTTAAATATAAATTAATTTTCGAAAATCAATAAAGTTAATTTATTCAGGTAATAAACAGGTAAAAAATAATTTTTTTATTAGCTTGCTAGGGGGGTAAAAAATTACTAAATAGTTTTATTAAGAATAACTTGTTAGCTTAATGATAAGTTAAATGAGTTAATTTTAAAAATTTTAATTTGTTAAGGTAATAATAATTGATTTAAATGATTTTATTAAGAATTGCTTGTTAGAAGAATAATAACTTGATTAAAATAATTTTATTAGGAATAATTTGACAGTTAAAATGTTAAAAGATTAAGTAATTTTAAATATTTTGAGGAGAAAATTAATAACATTTTTAATTAATTTATAATAATATATATAATATAATATATATAATATTTAATTTTATAAAATAAGTTAAAATTGATATAATTTTTGTGTTAAATGAAGCATGTACTGTGATTTTTTTAATAAATTAAATTTATGAGGAATTTAACTTTTATATGAATAATTAATGTTAATTTTTAATTTAAATAGACAATAAATTATGGAATTTATCGAGAGTATGAAAATAGTTAATTTTATGTTTATGTTTTTTTTCTTAAAAAAAATAAGGTTTTTTTAGCCTAAAAATTAATTTATTCTTTTTTTTACATGCAATTTTCTCTCTTCGGTGATTGTACGAGCACGATGTTTTCATTTTCATCTCGTGCCACAAAGTTTCAATAGGTGACAGATCTGGAGTGCTAGAAACCCAATTCAAAAGTGGTACATTATTTTCTTCCATCCATTTTATAGCCTTTTTTGAGGTATGGCCCGCTGCACCATCTTGCTGAAACACAAAATCTTGGCCGGATGTCAAACATTCTTCCATCACTGGTGAAAGCGATTCTTCTAAAATTGCCAAATATTTGTTTGTATCCACATTTCCATCAATAAAATGAAGTTTTCCTACTCCTTTTGATGACATACTGCCCCAGACCATAATGGATGCTGAAAATTTCACTTTTCTCTTCAGACAGTCAACATGGAATGCTTCATTTTTTTGCGAATAACTCTACTGCGACTGTCACCAACACAAACTTCGAATCGGGCCTCATCACTCCATTGTATTGCACACCATTGTTGAGGTGTCCATTGTCTATGTTCTTTAGCCCATCTAAGCCGATTTTTCTTTTACACTGAAGTTAATAGTGGCTTTTCTTTGGCCTATAAACAAGTTGTGCAACTTTAGGGTTTTACTTCACTTTTTTTTATAAGAAAACTTACCTTGCAAGTGCTAAATCCCAGTTTGTGGGCCTCTCTATGAGTTGTGGACCTCGAAATTCTCCTTCCAACAGCGTCACTCCACAGAGCACTTAATTGTAAATAACTGGCACGCCTGTTTTTCACGATTATTCTTCTTAATGCTCTTCGGTCGGCATTTGTGATATTACTTTTTTTCACATATCGTGGCTTAATATTAACTGAACCAGT